CTTTTCTCTAATGGGAATTAATCTGAGTTCAGACTTAATTGTGAGGATTTTCTGTTAACTAAGCAAGAAATCTTACAACACAACAATAAGGTGCCATTTCCCTGTCTCCAAATGGAGCGATATGCTGGCGCCTCATTTATATGCAATTTCCAGACCCCCCCCCCCCCCGCCCAATTGCTGATGCTGCAGCTTTTAATGTATTTGCTCTGGGGTGGCGGTGGCAGCGCTTTTGCTGGGGAGGCACAGCCATGGGTGAGAGGCTGTGCCTGAGGTGGAAGCCTGGGACCCCTCTCTCCCCATCACTTGTGGGGCTGCGAGCAGTCAGAGCCCAACTGAATGAAGGGGCTGTGTGCTCCTCTGCTAGCCCTGAGAGGGCCCCAGTGGCGGAGAAGAAAGAAGGTGCTTCAGGGTGGCATTGCCCAAGGGCACAAAGGAAAGGGGGATAACAATTCATGGTGCCCCTGGTGCCAACATGCTTCACACCAAGCAAGCCAGGTCTCCTGCAAAACTCACTCACGGGGCTACGAGTAACCCTTTAATTACTTTTGGAGGGCATCTTGGCGGCCACTTGCCACACACCTTCCTTTAGCCAAAATTCCTCTGTGTTGGGGGGGGGGGCTTGACCAGGAAGAAGATGATAGTAGACCATTTCTCAGGGGAAGGATGGCTGCTACTTGGGGCACCATGCCAGGGGCAGTAAAGTTCTCCACATTGCTGGTGGTTTGGAACTGGAGGCCACAACCTTGGGGCCCAGAAAGCAGCCACCACATGGAGGAGGCTCCCTTCTGGATTGTGCTACAGCTATGGGCCCTTGAGGATCACTACGCCACAGCCGCCATCTCTGCCGGCCCCAGAGGGAGGAGAGGTCCGTCAGGCATGTGTCCTCCCAGGGTCTCCCCAGCCATCCTGTGAGCGCCTGATAAGCCCTGGCGAGGGAGGAGAATAGCGGGGCCTTGTCTATCAGCCCATTAAAGGCTATTCTTGCAAGCCCCCCCCCCTTCATTAATACTCTGGGTGAATAGACCACTGAATAAAGATCGGTGGAGGCCGCACAATTGTCAAATTGAAAGGTAACTGTCAACAGAAGGAACGGGGTTACAAAAGGGCCCATTTCAGTGCTTAGCAAATGGTTTTCGGCTTGTCATTTCAATAGGCTGTGTTTTTCAGAGATTGTGGTTTCCTGAATAGCATTTTATTACCCTGCTGCTGCTTTTGTTTTTTTAGCCCATGCTGTCTCTTTGCAGGCTCCATTTAGCTGGAGATGTGGGCTCCCTCCTTTTCAGGAAGGTTGCCCTCAACTGGCCCAAGGAGAAGACTACCCTGGGCTGGCGAGCAGGAGAAGGAGCAGGAGTGCGGCTGTGGCTGGGACCACTCCGCCTGCCAGCCAGGGAGCCACTCTAGCCCACCACTCAACTTGCATAACTATGCCATGACCATGCCAAGCACAGTTGTGGGGGAGGACCCATCACAGCAAGGGGTCTCTGGCATTGCCTACCTCTTGTTCTCTCTGCCCACTGTTGGCAAGGTCAGGCAAAAGGCTGGATCTGAAGCAGCCCAATCAGCCTCTCCCTCTTGGCCGCCTCTGCTTCCCGTCTCCAGGCCAAGAAGACTCGCCCAGTCCAGGATGACTGTTTGGCGAGGCCTCTAGAGAGCCCCAGGGTGGTGGGCACACTCAGCCTCCGCAGCCTCGGCCTCAGCGAAGAGCATCCAATCCACCATGTGGCTGCTGCTCCTGGCCTCCTGCCCTGCCTGGGACCAGAAGCAGCATTTCCAGACCATAGAGCAGGAGGACGGCCCCCTCCGAGTCGCAGAAGCATCTGGAAATCACGGAAACTATCCCAACTGGTGCTGGCAAAGAGGGAGGGAGGAGGCAAAACTTATTCCTACCAGCCCCTGGCCTGTTTTGCCAAGAGACCATTTCCTTGTATACAGATAACCCCTTATCTTAAATGACCAGCTCCCTTCCCATTTGTAGTTAACTGTGGGCCCATTTTCTTTCTGCGATGTTATCCCAGCAAGATGAGAAAGGCATGACTCTAACACCCCCGGGATCTTCCGATATCAGCATCCAACGGTCTGACCTGTCCCAAAAGTGGCCCTCCCCTTTCTCTTGGAAGGCTCCACCCTTCTCAGAGCCTGCTCCAAAGGCAAGCCCACCTCCGCTGGTGCCGATGGCCACCAGCCCACCCATGGAATGCAGGGACCCCAGCAGGGACCCCCTCCCTCCCTCCCTCCCTTGCCTGGCCGTGGCTTTCCCTGTGCAACTGCTGGCTGGGAAGGTCTGCTCTTCACCCAGCTTTCCTACCCACCATATGCTTTTCAGGTCTCTGTTTCTGGGCAGACTCGCCAGGCCTCTGGGGCATCAAGGGACAGCCTGCCTGGTTCTGCATGGGCCATACACATCGCCCTCCCCGCTGTCTGGGGTCAGAAACGGGCTGGCTGGGGCCATGCCGCTGAAAATAAGTGCCTGAGGCTGAACAACCAGATTTCCGACACCATCTCTATGGCCTTGCCAAGACTTCAGGGACAGAGCGAGGCCTCTCCTGTGCAGGGCTGGCATATCAGACCTGGTCAGGAGGCTGGAAACCCAAGGATGCCTTTCCCTGTCCAGCTGTAAGGGATCTCTGGGTCAGGGGCTGTCTGGGGCGAGGGCTGCCATCAGAGCCGAGTTTCATGCTTCCTAAGCACGGAAGCCGCTTCAGACGTGGTCCAGAATTGCCAGGCCAGGCTGTCCGAAAGGGTTAATCCTGGAAGAGTGCTGGCAGCAGGCAGGGAAGAGGGGAGGGGGAAGCAAACTCTACCTGGGGAATTGGGCATGAATATGTTTCACCTTTTGCAGAGCCCCCTCCCCCCGCCTCAGAGGATAACTGACCTTTGGAGGAAAATAATGAAAAGAAGAAATCCCTTAGAGAAAATCTTGTGGCTGGGCCTCTGAAACGAGATCTGCTCCTGTAGGTTGCCATGGCAACCACAGTCATTTTATGATATGAAATCCATGAATGGAGAAGCCCCCCCCCCGAAACTCAGTGGGGCCAGGAGCTGGGGACCCCCATTCTACCTTGCTTGGGACAGCATCAGCTTCCCCTGGTGCTTGGGACTCCCTCCTGGCTCCTCGGAGGCACCATTCGGGAGTGGTCCCGGGATGCCAAAGAGGACCCTGGCCCTGTTGGGAGGGAAGATCAAAGAGTGTGGGTAGAAGAAAGGCAAAGAACAAATGGCTCCCCCGGCCTTGGCTCTTCCTCCCTTTGGGATGGGGCGGGGGGGGTGTCAGCCACCACCCCTGTTTGTTCAGGGGGGCCTCGGTGCCCCTAAGTTCAGAGGAGAGCAAGAGAATGGTGGGGGCTGCCATGGTTCACCTGCCCAGCTCCGCTTTCTGTGATGATGGTCCTACTTTGCTCCCCTTCTGATCCCTTCTGCCAACAGGGAAGGCCAGAGCAGGGCTTCTCCTTTTCAGGGCGGATGGGCGCCATCTTGACAGACCCCAAGGAGACACCCACAAACTCCTTAAGATGACGGGCAGCAAAGAACTGGAGCTGAGAGCAAAGGAACAGGCTTGGAAGGGGAGGCCTCATGGAGGGGCCCCTCCCTCTTTGCCTAATCAATTAACTTTGGGTCAAATTAGAAGGGTTAGAAAAATGAGCCGTAAAGAGAGGGTTTGGGAACAGGGGCTGTAATAAGAAGCAATATTGATTACTGCCATGGAACCTTATAAATCATTCATGTTCTCTACCAATCTTCCCATCTGATTTCCCCGAAGCTGTTTGCCTCGGAGATGCAATTAAAATTAAAATGTTGAGCCGGCCATCATAGAGAAGACGGAAGGCTCGCAGATGGCAAAGCTGGGCCTCCAAGCATGATGGCCAGCCTCAGCGAGACATAACCTGGCCTGTTGTTTTCGCCTCTTGTGTTTAAAAAGAGAGAACCTCTCCAGGCTCTCCTTCCCTCTTCCACTCCCTTCCCTGAGACAAAAGGTGCCTGCTCACCCAAGGCAGGCAGGGCCAAATGGGCTTCTGGCAGCTGGCTAAACAAGAAAAAAGGCCAGGCTTGGTAACTACTTCTGAGAAGATTTGAGATGGGGCCTGATGTTTCTTGGAGGCCTCATAGCAGGACAGCCTCTCTTGATTAGTAGAAGATCAAATGCCTCCGAAATAGGAGCTCCACTGCAGTTAAATGTCTCAGGCACAGTCGGAAGCCGCTTGGACTGGAGTTTGGGCCTTTGGCCTCTGTGCCCAGAATAGCCTCAAACTGGCACAAGGGCTCAAGCTGCCTGGCGCAGAAGAGGATGTTTCCCCAAGCCCTCTAGCCGGCCCTCAGTGGAAGTGCCAAGGTTTTTGACTGCTGGGTCTTCTGAAAGCAAAGGGGATGTCCCAGCCACCAAGGAATGGATTGTCCTGGCTCAGATCCAGTGTTGGAGGCCGGGGCTGATGTGCCCTTGAGAGAGGATGAGGAAGCCCTTGGAGATAAGGCACCACCAGAGGAGAGAGCTGGTTGTGGAGGAACAGGCCAGGGGAGGAAGAGGTGGATTTGCTAGGTTAGCCAGCCCAAAGGCCATGCGGCAGCAGCGCCTTTACTCATGTTCTGGGGTCCCCCTTCCCATCCCATTAAACGCCTGGCTAATCAGCCACGCAAAAGGGGTTCTGTACATGGAAGCAAGAATTAACTTCCACTGCAACTCCAGCGTTAGCCATGGCTACGAGAGAGAATCCTAATTTATGGTAATTGCTGCTTGTGAGCCCACTTCAAAATAGACCTGCCTGATTCTGTGCATTCTCCCCCCAAGATTCCAGTTTAGCTCAAATCAGGGTGATTTAAGCTTTCAGCTCCTGGAACAGGGCAGCATGGATTGCCAAGTAATTTGTACCGGACTAACACCCTTAATTAATAGCAAACTAATTAGCAGCCATTGACTCAGGCAACACCCTTCCCTTCCCTGCTCAGAGGGGAAGAGTGTCTCCTGGGGCGCAGCTAGAAAATAAAGAATGGCCTAGGCACACACACACCTGGTCTGAAGATGGGGGTTGAAAAAGAGTCTGCAGACAGTGGCAATCCCGAGAACTCAGCACTGGAACAGCCCTGCTCGAAGAAGGTCTGTATTCCTCTTGATTCCTCAGTTGCCCCCTTCGGTCCTCCGCGTAGGTGGTGGGACTGTAACTGGCTCACTCAAGGCAAGGGGCTCTGCTCTGGGATGGTGAAGCACAGCTGGGGGTGGGGCTTGGGTGAAGGTTTTGCCCAGAATCTGTCCTGTCCACCCTGCGGGATAAAGTCCAGCGCAGACTCAGGGAGGGGAGAGGCTTGCTGGAGTCTGATGCTTTTAATTATGGGCTGCTTTGATGCTCGGTGCAATGGTTCTGACTTTTCCAGCAGATGGGTGGGAGTTAAATGGGCAGGAAAAAGGATCTTGCGCTCCCCCACCCACTCACTCCCGGCCTGGCTGAACTTGTTTTTCCAGTTCATGGAAGCTGCTGTGGGCCTGACCTCCCTCCCCCCCTCCCCCTGCAAACAGCTCCCCTTTGGAGGCTGCAGCTGCCCAGGAAATGGAGGAGGCGGTGCCACTCCGATTGCTGCGAAGCTGAGCTGAGTCGAGTCGGGGCACAGCTTTGGCCAGCAAGGCCCAGGAGAGAATGAGCGTCTGGATGGGAACTGTTGAACTGGCTGGTTGGACTCTTCTTGGCCAGTGAAGAAACAGACAGAACCCCAAAGAATGGGAACTTTGGCCAAGGATCTCAAAGAGGCCCCAATTCTTTCCTGAAAGAACGGTCACTCGGAGCAAGGAGGGCCATCTGGACATCATGGGACTCCAGGGGTCTTAACAGCCCACCTCTAGTCCAAATGGGATAAAGGAAGGAATGTCTCCTGCTTGGGTTTCAGCAGCTGAGAAAGAAGGTCCTGCCTCATCGCAAGGAAGCTGCCGGCTGTCAGAGGCGAAGCGGCTGGTAGGGCTTTAAATAAAGTTCCCAGCACTCTGGAGCAGGGTGGGACAGGATTGCTACCACAAGCTGCTATTGCTGGGAACAACAAAGCCCAGAGGTCCTGCAGCCAGCAGAGTTCCAATTGGGAGACCCGTGGGGGGACCCCGAGACTCTTATCAGCAGTGCCCCCCCCCCAGCCCAAGATATTGATTTGGAGTGTCTTGCAGATGAAGTGCATCCAGCCTGGATTATTTGAATGTCTCCTTTTCCCCTTGCCCACTGCCAGTCTGGAAGGGAGCAATGACGCTGCAAAAGATCCTTTTGCTGAATGCCAGAAAATGGAGGCTAGGCTTCTCTCACCCCTGGGGACCTCCAGCATCCTAGCCCTCCACCTCCCCCGTTCAGCCCAGCCCAAGCAATCTGCCCTCCCCTGGCCAGTCTGGGCTGATTTGTCCAGAGCTGCCTACTTTTGCAGGGGGCTTTCAAGAGATGCTTTCAACAGGGCAACAGAGTGCCCTCCCACTTGCCAGAGGGTTTGGTTCACAAGCCATGCTGCATCAGTGGCAGGAGGGGGCAAGTGGCGATCCGCCCCAGCTGCAATGTGCCACAGTCACGTTCCTCTTGAGAGGGAGAGCCAGTGGAGGTGCTTGGGTCATTCTTTCCCCCAAGGGTGGCAGTTCCCCTTCTGCAGGCTTCACCCCAACAGAAGCGGCCAGAGCAGGAAGCTCCCACCGTACCTCAGCCTGGATCCTTCTGCTGCCAGGATCAACCCTTTTCCCAGCTCCAGAAGTAGAAATACTGGAAATGAGGGGAAGAGGGAGTGGAATTCCCTGGCCACTCGGGCTCCCATAGTGGGAAAGCCCTATCCCTGGCCTGCCTTACCAGCTGGGGTGATGCTGTTTGTCCCAGGAGCCCCAGCTTGGTCAGTCAGCCAGGCAATCCAGAGCTGTTGCTGGAGCAGCAATCCCTGCCTTCCTGGCAGGCTGCTGGAAGTGTGCAGCCAGTGCATCCCTCTCCCTCAAATGCGAGGCGGCAGGCCCATTTCTCGCTTGCCTGCCACTATCACCGAGGAGGCACTAACGGTTTCCGACAGAGCCATTTGCAGGCTTGGCAGCTCCAGCACCCACCCTGGAAAGTTTATTTACTCCGGCTGAGCTGACAAGCGACGACTTCTCCAATCATGACTGCCCAAACTATTTGTGCAGGAAGACATGGGGACCGGCACCCACGGAGGGGACAACTCTGGCAAATGGCCTTAAGGAGCAGGCGAGTCTCCTTCTGTCCCCAAAGACAAGGTGTCGGTCTCAATCGGCCTGGGCAGAGGGCTGCCGTCATTTGGGCTGGCCTGCCCGGAGTACCAGACGCCCTCGAAGCGATGGCTTCCTCCTGGGTTCCAGCAAAAGTGGCCCAAGCAGATATTGGAATGCAAGCGGGAGAGCGGGAGCACTGGCTGCCAGCCACGTGGAGACCGTCCGGCTCTTTGTGCCATCCTGTGGAGTGGAAGAAGATTGCAGGTTGTGGACCCGTGCTTGCAGCTGGCACAAGTTCTGGTGTGCAAAGCAAAGGGTTTTTCTTGTGCACGTGTCCCGCAGAATCTCCGGAGAAGGCCAATGTTGTCTGTGGAAGCCTAGCTGGGTCTGATGAATCAGCTGGGTTAGTTTCAGCTAGCGTTTTCTATCCTTGAAAATGTTGGCCAGCTTCAGAGTTACACTCAGTCCTGGGGATCGAGGCCTCCTAGCCACGAGATTCCCTCTGGAGGCCATCGGCGGGGAGGAGTGGGCTTCCTTGGGCAGCTGGTTGGCCACCATGAGAACAGACTGCTGGACTAGATGGGTCAGGAGTCCAATCCAGCAAGGCATGACTTTGGTTCTTCACAGGAGCACAGGTGAGAGCTGGTGTTTAGGCTGCTGCTTATCTGGCTACGTTAAGACTTTCTCCTCTTCCCACAGTTTGCAAACTTTTAAAAAAATAATCTCATCATTTCAACAAGTGTAACAACTAAATTATCATCTTTACATGATTAAAGTCTGTGCAGTGTCTTTTCTTGGCAAACATTACATGCCCATAATTTTACTAAATGTAATAAACCAACCATAGAACTATTAATTTTACCATGGTATTCATAACAATTAGAAACGCGTGAACCTTAAAATGATGAAAACTGAACTGAATGCTAAAATAGTCGTGACTGCAGAGACCCCCCTCCTGCTGATGCCCTGCTCAGAAAGCAGCTGCAAAGAGGCCACAGACAGAGCTCTGCTCTTCTGGTGCCCCAGGGATGCTCCCCCCAGCTAGGAGAAGGGGGGCTTCCATTTGTCCATCTCTTCGGCCAATTTAAACAGCCACCCATCTCAAAGCAGAGACTGGTAAACAATCACAAAAACACTTAAAACTCAAACTAAAAAGAAATAGCAGCCAAGAGATATTACAGTCCATCGGTGTCAGCATTATCAGGCAAGGGGCCTTTTTCTCTTCCCCTCTCAGTCTCTCCAGTCAAACTGTCCCATCCAAACAGAAATCCCCTCTTGGGGTGGATATGCTAAAGGAGACGAGGCTGGGCTGAGTCGCTTGCTGACCGCCCAGTTATGCGTCTCCCTTGGAGCCAGACCAACTCTTTGGAGGACTTTGCATGCAAAGACTGGTGTGATCATTGCAACTTTTCCCCTGTCCAGGTGGGCAATTCCTTCACTAGGTCAAGGCAAGGGGTATCAGGGCCACAATTTCACCGCTCCTGATAATCATTTTGCCGCAATTTCTCATCCAGCAGCAGCTCCATTTTGTTCCCTGGAAGTATCTGAGCAGGCAGTTTGCAAGTGGAAAGTCTAGACCACAATTCCTGGGTGGAAGCAGCCTGGGGTGCTTTGCACTGAGAAAGGAAGGAGGAGACCCCACTTGGGCCAAAGCTGGGAGTTAAAGCATTTATGCGGTGAAAAGAAAACTGGGTGCAGAAGCGAAGGAGCGCCTTGGCCAGTGAGTGCAGGGATGCTGAAATGACCTTCTCAGTTGACCTTCTTTCCAGGCAGGAAATCACTGCTTTGGTGGGCCTTGTAGGAGGTGAGAAGACAGCTCTCCATGCCATGAATTCTTCTGGAGTGGACGTGCCCCCTCTGTGTCACTCAGGAAGGAGCAGCGGTGATTAATGGTGGGGGTTCCCAACCCAGCGAACTGCCATTAGAGGCTGGGCGCTGGGAACAGCAGGGGTAATTAAACCACTTGTTTAATTGAAAGGGGTTTGATTTATGGGGCCATAAACTCTTGCCTTCCCATTTTCTAGCCAGGGCCTGGGGTGCAGGCAATCACCTAATGGATGCTCACGACCACTTGGGGGTTGGAGGAGCTTAGCCAGGCTCCATCCCATCCTTCATGCCACATCACAACCTCCCTTCCTTTGCCTTTGACCTGCATCCGGCCCATCTGGAGAAGCTGGAAAAGCCACCACAGGCCCAGAAAGCATCCTTTGCAGCCTGCCCAAGTCTCTCCCTTGGACCGACACAGGCAGAGCCCTGGATGCAGAATTCCTCACAGGAGAATAAAAGGTGCCTGAATGCAAAAGTCTTCCTGGAGTCTTGCAACGGTCCTTGCAGTGTGGATGCCAGGGCTGGGATCAGGTTTCCTGTCCTTGCAATGTGGGACGCCAGGGCTCCTGTGCCCTTTGGCAAAGGGCTGCCTTTCCTCATGTGGTGCAGCTGCTCTCTGGGGGTGGCAGGGGAGAGATCCACCCAAGGAAGGCCAGTAAGTTGACCCAGAGTTGGGCAGCCTGGAAAACTCCCCCAAGAGCTGTTATAATGCAAAGCCCGCAACCCCCCAGGAGGGGGGCTCAGGATCGAGTCAGGGTAAAGCTAGAGTGGGCGGGCACAGACCCCCTAGAGACACTCAGGTCAGCCAATGGAAGGGGAGCAATTTGCTTCTCAGAGGATGCCAACCTTGGCCCAGTGGGCCAGCGAGATGCTGCTCAGTCCTACATCTCTTCAGTGAGAGGCCCCCTCGTCCAGATCTCTTAATCCCAAGGATTAAGAGGGACCTGCAGCAGAGAGGGACCACCTGACTTCCACCTCTGTCCCAAGGAGTCCCCTGCTTCTCCTCCTCCTCCTCCTCCTCCTCCTCCTCCTCCTCCTCCTCCTCCTCCTCCTCCTCCCTCTGCCATTGTCCTTAAGATACTCCTCTCGAAGGAATGCAATTAACAACTGACTGTGAAAGGAACAGTTCTGCTCCCACACAGGGAAAATCAATTCTTTGCTTCCAGAGATATAGATAATCATATTCTGCTGCCTCTTCCATGCTGCCTGTCGCTCTTAGGGAAGTCCAAAGGAGCCTTAAGGAAGGACACCAGCCAAATCAACAGGGCTTAGCTGCTCAAACCAGGGCCAGGCAGCAAGCGTGAGACCAGGAACAAAGCTACGTCCTGCGTCCCCCTCCTACCCCCCTGAATTTTCCACTACTCTCTCCCTGGGAAGCCTGGCTGTTGCATCTCGTGGGAGGCCATCCTGTCCACCCATCCTTGAGGGCACCAAGATGGC